GTAATAACACTTTTGGCCTGAGGCTCCAGAACGTAACAGCTACACCATTTAAGGTGGAACTGACAGTCTGAATAAGAACCTGTTCAGTAGCTGAAGTTCAGTGTGAGAAGTAAAGGTTCTGTGCCGGTACATTTACAATGTAAATGTTCCCTCAAAGGTCCAGCAGTGGTTTAAAGGTCCAGTTGCGAACATTAAAGACGTTTTTCCAGGTGAAAAGTTCGTATTTGTACCTTTTCATAACCGAATGTTTTAAAACAGAACAATGAAATAAAAGCCTGGAGACAAGACGGGGTGTGTGGCGTCAACACAACTTAGAATATACAATAAATGAAATGAATAATGAATAAATGAAATATTGTGGTGCTACAATTATGGTAAAGACGTACCCTCGAGGGTTTCACCTCAGTTTAGTACCCTTTTTTATGAGAGTCCATGTGCGGTTCTGATCTTTTGGTCTACAATGAAACGCTGAAGCTCCGCAGTGAGAGGTCAGCACAGCAGGACGAAGAGGAGCTGAGAATCAGTCACACCAACGTACTGAATATATTCATAAATACATAAATACACAGGTGAGTGACGGCGTGACAGGAGCGTCTGCTGAAGGACAGGCGACCCACATATACGGGCCGGCAGTGAGTTATTTACAGTCACAGGACTGTGTGTGTGTGTGTGTGGGTGTGTGTTTAAGGAAGCTGTAGTTTGGAACACTTTATGATTTATGGCAGCTCTGATTTAAACAGGTTGTGATGACTCAGTCGAACACACAGAGGCAGAGAGTTTAACTTCTAACGAAAACAGTGAGGTTAACACCATTAATTCAGACCAAGATCAGCACCTGATAGTGTTTCGATGGCATCACAATCACACTGCTGCCGTTTTGGTAGCAACATCAAGATCACTCAGCAGTGCTGTGTCTGTTTGTAATCAGATAAAGATATAACTGACCAGCAAAGACAGTAAAACACATTTTTTACATATTACTTTTTATTTAATTTTAAAGTGTATTAACTGATATATTTGATTGTACTGACTTGATTTTATTTGATTTGTTGTTGTAATGAAGACAAATGAAAGCTGAATTCTAAATGGCTGAGTCACTAGCGCCCCGTCCCAAAACGCATACTACCTCACTAAATATTGTGTAAAAATAGTGCATATCCCATTAGTGTGTGGTTTGGGACGCGGCATTAGATCAGCCAGTGAGACGCGTTCAACAGCTGCTCCGCGGTGCTGCTTGTTAGCTGCTCATTAAACACCTCCAAGAGAAAGTTTGAGGGGTTTGTTGATTCAGGAGCTTTTATTGAGGTAAACTGATGTATTTATTGAGGTAAATTAAGCTGATGTTGCGTCGTATTCACCAACTTGCGAAATTCGTTCTCCGTTTAAGGCGCTTCAGTGTAATTGCAGCTCAATTTAAGATAGAACAGAAAGTTCAAATGAGAAGCTGGTAAATAAGAAGCTTCTGCTTTATATCTGTGTATGAGTTTATTATTTAAGAGCTTTGGCAGTTTTGTAGCCACTTTTATTGGTTTTTATAAAATCACACACTGGAATGTTCTGAACTCTGGAGATGTTCAGGTTATATGGATCCACCAATCATCTGGAGACGCATCTAAAGTGTGCACGTGTCTTTAAATCGTTTTTTTTGTGGTCATTCTGGTCTGTGTTGTTGGTGTTTATCCACCTGCAGGGCTGTATCTGCAGTAATGGTGATGAGACGAGCTCCATCAGAGCACAATTAGAGATACAGCTCACCTACCAACATGGAGACGAGGCCGTATTAATGACACAATACAACACTACGAACACTCAGGTGAGCCAGATCTCTGAAACGGCTCACGATTGGCCGATGGCGCTGATGTGTTAGTCACATACGTCACAAACACGTCTGCTGTTGTACTCTGGGAAGTGGAGGTTTGTGGAAGAACAGCCTCTGAACTAACCGACCGGAGGGAAGCGTGACACGTGTAACACGTTCTTACTCTGAATACTTAGTTATGACTAGGTGGGTTCTGGAAATTTTCCAACGACCAAGTAGGAAAAATACATTTAAACATCCTTCCAACTCATAAACGCTGCTCAGAAAGTTTCTAAAGCAGAAGTACCAACATATTTAGAAGGTGGAATCAACCAATCACACTCTGATTCAAAATGAGGCGGAACCACTCTAGTCCTTCTGGAAGTTCTAGATACATCACTGACTGTGACTATTGAACACCTACTGAACACCTACTCTACTAAACACCTGCTGAAGATGTACTGAACAACTACTGAACACATACACTACCACCTACCCTACTGAACACCTTCTGAACCTACTGAATATCTACACTACTGAACACCTAATGAACACCCACCAAACACATACACTACTGAACGCCTACTGAATATCTACTGAACACATACACTACTGAACACCTACAGTACTGAAAACTTACTAAATATCTACTAAACGACTACTGAACATCTACACCACTGAACATCTTTTGAACACCTACTGAACCCCTACACTACTAAACACATACACTACTGAATACCAACTGAACATCCACTGAACACCTACTTAACACCTTCACTACTGAACACCTGAACCTACTGAACACCTACTGATCATCTACACTACTGAACACCTAAAGTACAACTACACTGTTGAAAACCTACTGAACATCTACTGAACACCTACAGTAATGAACATCTTTTGAACACCTACTGTATACTCACAATACTTAAGTTTGGCAAGTTATATGTTTTAGTTTTGGTGTTTTCTACTCAGGCCATCCATCAGCTCCGCCCACCTGCTCCACTCCAATGTCCTATTGGTGGATTTTAGCCATGCTTTCCTCTTATTGGTGGATTTTAGCCTTGCTTTCCTCTTATTGGTGAATTTTAGCCATGTTTTCCTCTTATTGGTGGATTTTAGCCTTGCTTTTCTCATATTATTGGCTGAAGTGTCTCTTTAACAACTCTAACAGCACTGATTTCAAATCACTACCACAGAGTTCTTTCAGGATAACGGTGAGCGTGTTATGTACACCTGTCTGCAGGGTGGATACAGGTGTGTTTCAGAGTTTGAGTCATTAATTAAATATTTAAACGTTACTGTTATGAAATTATTGCTCCACACACACCAACAATGGAGACGCATTGGAACATGTGAGCGCAGTTAAACAGAGAGAGAATATCAGCAGCGTGACGATTATCAGCCCGACCCAACCCAGAGCTTCACATCCTGTTTCCTGTTACTGCACTAACACAACAAATTCTATTATATGTATGTATAGAATATTATATATATATATATATAATAGAATTTGAAGAAACAAACGGTTTTCAAATTGTATAAAAAGAAATACAGCAACGATATATATGTATATTATATAAATACATAAAACAAAAAATTACAAAAGCAGAGTTTGGTGGAGCTCCAGTTCCCCTCTAGATCCTCCACTAAGAGACTACAGTCACAGAGGAGCTGAACCACTGACTGTTTACATGATATATATGATATATACGCTCATTGATATATACAAAATCAGGTGATTAATCATGATTGACGGTTTAATTGTCAGCTCTATATAACAGTGATCACAGTAGATAGTTTATAATGTAGAATGTTTATCTACAGTCTGTGGACTAAAGCAGACGGAGGCTGGATAACAGCACACAGGACAGAGAGGACGCTGTGACAGTCAGCCCCTCTCAGACACTGACCATCAGAACATCTGCACTTTCACACTGGATCACACCTGCACACTACACACACCGTCATGTGACCTAATGCACTTTATGACATCACAAGTGTAAATCAGCCCCTGAGGTTTACAGGCTGATGGACCTTAGACCCCCCTCGTCAGGACTGATCCTCAGAGGAATGAAACGCCTTCAACATTACACCAGCAAGTCCAGCAACTTGGACCTAATACTTAGTTAAGATTAATCCTGGTCTAATCCTGAGGTTAGGGTTAATCCTGATCTGGTCTGGGTCAGGGTTAAACCTGATCTGGTTCGGCTCCGGGTTAATCCTGATCTGGTTTGAGTCAGGGTTTATCCTAAAGCTGGGTTGGAGTTACTGTTCTGGACTGGGCTGATGTTAATCCTGAGGTTGGTGTTAAAACTGATCTGTTTTGGATTAGGATATGCTTCGGGTTGGAGTTAATTCTGAGGCGGGAGTTAATCCTAAAGTTGGTGTTAATCCTGAGGTTGGGGTTAATACTGATCTGCTTTGGGTTGGTGTTAATCCTGAGCTTGAAGTTAATCCTGAACTTGGTTTTAATCCTGAGTTAGGTGTTAATCCTGAGGTTGGGGTTAATACTGATCTGTTTTGGGCTGGTGTTAATCCTGAACTTGGTTTTAATCCTGAGGTTGGGGTTGGTGTTAATCCTGAGCTTGGGGTTAATACTGATCTGATTTCGGCTTGTGTTAATCCTGAGTTTGGAGTTAATCCTGAACTTGGTTTATTGGGTTTTATCCTAAAGTTGGAGTTTATCCTGAGGTTAAGGTTAATCCTGATCTTAGTGTTAATCCTATTGTAATGATCTATATGAGGACCTGCCCTCACAGTCAGCTCCTTCGCAGCATCACCTGATTAAAACTCATCAGCCTGACAGATGAACAGAGTGAGTGGATAAAGGACAGTGGTGTAAATACAGTCCCGTTTCTGTGTTAATGTGATCCGGATCCTTTAATCTGATCGCTCTTCTAAAACTAATCTGATACAGAATCAGAGTCTGAATGAGAACCAGCCGCTAATCCGTGTCTCTGCACCCTGAGCGGCGCAGTGAGGGTGACCGCGCCGTGTACAGTGTAAATAACGCTGTTTGGTGTGAACGGTGTACATAAACTGTCCTGTGGTGTAAACAGTGAAACAGAGACAATACCGAGTTCTTCTTATTCGAATGTTCTGTTCTACCTTAAACGGTGTGATGTAACTGCTGCACCATTTAAGGTGGAACGGAAAGTTGACTGGCGAGTGAAGGCGGTAATAGAGGGGTTGTGCTCACCTGCCCACGGTCTGGTGGGCGAGCTGCCGCATTCGGTTGAACTGCTTCTTCATCCTGAACGAATCAAAACTCAGCCTTCAACATCCGGGTAACCTCCCACATAATAATCCATCATAATCGATCATTCCAATCGATCCGTTCGGAGAGAGAACCCAAACCCAACCTGCATCATTACAGCAGCACCTCTGCGCTTCAGGGATGCTGGAGCGGCGTCTCCCTCCCCTCCCGGTGACGCAACACGCCAGCCGGGCATCATGGGAAATGTAGTTTAACCTGAAAGCAATGCTGTAACGTGTCTCCTTTTATGTTTATGGCCTTTTAGTTGATTCAGATTTACTACACAGGCTGTTTCCAAGCTGTGACACTAATGAGGATGTAATTAATCCAAATTGGGCATGATATGACTAATGAAAAATGCCACAGAACGTGTTCTGATTGGTCTGAAAGGATTAAAGTTTCATAACGTTATACTTTAGATGAACATCAGAGAGGTTTGGTGCGAAATGGTTGATTGTAGAGTGGTGATAGGAACCAGGGCTCACCATGACTACAACACAAATATAGACATTTTACAGCAGTTTAGCCCCGCCCATTTAGCCTACAGGCGTTTAACCACGCCCATTCAGCATACAACCGTTTAGCTCCGCCCATTCATCCTACTTTAGTTTAGCCCCACCAATTCAGCCTACAGTAGTTTAGCCACGCCCATTCAGACTACAGCAGTTTAGCCACGCCCATTCAGCCTACACCCGTTTAGCTCCGCCCATTCAACTTCACCCATTCAACCTACATCATTTTAGCCCCACCCATTTAGCCTACAGCAGTTTAGCCCCACCCATTCAACCTACATCAGTTTAGCCCCGCCCATTTAGCCTACAGCAGTTTAGCCCAGACCAAATATGATAAGTATGATAAGGGAAAATTATAACACAAGAAAATTATAGAATATGGGCTCTTCAACTTTTTCTCTTTGAAGCCTTGGCTTTGGTGCCCCCCTGTGTTGACTGTGCTGCATCCCCCCGTATTTGCGCCTCTGCAGACAGTTACGGTATATTATTTTATTCTATTACTGTGATGAATTTGGGTTTTTGTGTGCAGCCACACAGCTCTCCTTAAACAGCACAACAATACAGCATCATATCTATAATTTGCTCATGTTTAAATACATTTAATAGCTCCTCTTATTCCCTCTTACTCAGGACAGTGAGACGATCACGGAGCAGCACATGAACAACACCAGTGAAATGCTTAATAAATAGATGGAATGTCTTAATGGAGTAATAAAGTCAGGACCTGTATTATGTTTGCAGACTCTGACTGGCCTGTCCTCTAGATTAATAGATTAATAGATTGATAGATTAATAGACTGATAGGTGTATGAAGTCAGGCTCTGTACGGTGTATTTTCTGCAGCGCGTTTTTGACCCGCGTGTCCCTCTCCGCTCCCCGTCGTGCTCTGCTCGGGGCTAAAGATGGCGGCCCGCGCTCTGATTAAAGCTAATAAATGGCGTAAAGGTTATAGATTAATTTTGGGATCCAGAGCAGGTGAGTGATCAATATCCGATATTGGAGTGTTCGATTAGTGATTGGGTTGACGATTAGCGGAGTGTAGCTGTGCGGAGCGGAGACAGTTTGTCTGAAGGACAGTTTAACCTTTAGCTAACGGAGCTAACGGCTAACAGCAGAGATAAACACACAAAAGTATTCCCTGTTTAACAGTTCAGGGCTTTATAACTGTGATTCGGGGTTTAACTGAACGGCGGCAGGTTTAAAATGTACTTACAGCAAACGGAGATAAAGATGCACTTTAAACGACGAAGCTGAGTTTAACTGCTTATTGAAATATTCCGTTCCACCTTAAATGGTGCAGCAGCTACATTGGGGCGCCTGTAAATGCTGCAAGATTTAAGGTGGAACGGGAAATTCGAACAAGCAGATGTGACAAAAATAAATGTGTATACCCTGAATAAACATATTTACATATGCACCTTTCTTTTTTTAACCCTTTTTGTACTATACTTTTATAACGTTTAATTTAATTTTCCTCTTTAATATTTTACGTTAGTGTGTTAGTCTTATGCTAACCAAACACTAGACTTTGAAAAGACTTGTGAAAGACTTAAGTCTGACACCCTCTCACATCTAAAGACAGTGTCACAGGTTTTAGTCACAGAGTATGATTTTGCAAAGACTGGGAATCTTGCATTGTCTGTAGACTGTAAAGACTGTAACTTGAATTTTGAGATTATGTCCCATCATACACCTGGTGGAAATTTACAAGCAGGTAAACACTTTTCCTTCCACTCTGTAGTGGTACAGATGGGAAGATACGTTGACTGAGCATGTAAAGATCTGGGGTTCAGCTCAGTTCACTGTGGAACTGTATACTCTGGCAGGTCATCGCTGTGCAGTTACTTTTTAAATTTGACATAAAGATTTACACACCAACAAAACATGCAGCAATTCGGCACTGTTAATTGGGTGTTATGAACTAAACCAAATAAAAAAAACAAAAAAAAACAGTGTAACAGAAAGCAAAAAAAAACATAGATGGTTCTTCAGTAAAGCCGTTCTTAAAGTCCTCTGCACATTTCCTTACATCCCTGTTACACTCTGAAATATTAAAGCAGGCAGTTGACATTTTAAGTTAATATGATTATTGTATTAAAGTGGAGCAGATTTGCTGTTTTTACCGAGGTGTCAGGCTCTCACGCATGCAATTTCTTTCTCTCTCTCTCTCTCTCTCTCTCTCTCTCTCTCTCTCTCTCTCTCTCTCTCTCGCGTGCACCCCTGGCATGTCACTATTTGCATGGGCCAAGACTTAAAAAACCTACAATAATATTAAACACGGTTGATTTTGTCGCAGCGTCAAGACCAGAAAAAGACTGACCTAAAACAGCCGTCCTGACCACCTCACACTAAACGATCGAGATGACGCGAATGTGACGTGACTCTAACAAGACTCTTATGATTTTATTCCGACACTGGAAACTTGTCTGCGACAGTGAAATCACTTGAAAAGTCGTTTGGTGTAAGACCCATGTTACATGCTTGTGCGTTTTAACGTCCTCATGTGTCGCACATCTGGAGTAATAAAACAGGTGCAGTGTGTTTATTTATGACTGTGTCTGTTTGTGTCTTCAGCATCTGGAGTATCTAAGGATGTGTTGCCAGGTCCGTACCCCAAAACCCCAGAGGAGAGAGCTGCAGCGGCCAAGAAATACAACATGATGCTGGAAGACTACCAGCCCTATCCTGACGAAGGCAAAGGGTCAGTCACTGTTATACCGTTAATTAATTTAAATTAATTTTTAGTGAAAGAAAACTGCACTTTAATGAAACAAGAGGTTTGATGCAGAATGTAAACAGTGTTAAAGTTTCAGTCCATTTGTGGAAAATAAAAAAAGAAAAACAGCCTTTAATTCACTGTTTTTGTAGCATCACAAACCCAACATATTTGCATGTCATGAGTTTAGACCCGCCCATTCAGCCTAAAGCGGTTTAGCCCCTCCCATTATAAGGTTTGAGACTGGTTAGAATATTCTGGGCTGTAGTTCAGGTGTAATGAAGACAGTTGATGCTGTCCAAATAATCAGCAGAGCTGTGTTTACTACTGACGGACCTTTCAGTCAAATGTGATACTCAAATACTGAAGATGTTATTAGAAAACTATTCAGACAATAGGTGTCATTTTAGAGACTTATTTGCATATTAAAGTTACTAATTTACTATTAGACTTCTTTAAACTTTCATAAAAAGTTCTGGCATGTCGTAGTGTTCACCCCCAGTTTCCTCTGCTGTCCTGTCAGTGTAATCAGTCTGTGATGCTGTGATGTGTACAGGTACGGTGATTACCCCATGCTGCCCAATCGTTCCCAGCAGGAGAGAGACCCCTGGTATCAATGGGACCACCCAGACCTGAGGAGGAACTGGGGAGAACCGGTAAAAAACCCACTACACTCCTGTTCCTGTCACAGCGCACCGCAGACCGTACTGTCATAATACAGACTGTACAGTCATGATAGAGACCATACAGTCATAATACGGTCATAATAGAGACTGTACAGTTTTAATACAGTTATAAAATAAAAGATTGTACAGTCATAATTTAGTCGTAATACAGAACGGACTGTCGTACTACAGACTGTACAGTTAAAATACAGTCATAATACAGACTGTATAGTCATAATACAGCCATAGTACAGTCATTATAGAGACCCTACAGTCGTAATAGTCATAGTACAGTCATAACCCAGACTGTACAGTCATAATATGGTCATAATACAGTCTGTACAGACATAACTCAGTCTGTAAACGTCAACGGCTGTAGGAGCAGCTGCTCCGAAAGTAAACCTGTTTAGTGTCGCCATGGAAACGGAAGTCGCTAAGTAACCATGTGTGTGTTTACCCATTTATTTTAAGACAAATGGGTTTCAAAAAGCGAGAGAAATATAAATAATTCAAACACCCAGACGCTTATTCATTATGTTTATTCATCATTCAGAGGTTTTGCCTTTTATTAACCCTTTAGACCCAAACAGAACACTAAAGCGCTCTTTTTTGGATTGTTTATTTTACTGTTTTAAATATTACATTTAGTCATAAACCAGGAGAAAATGTCAATCATTTATCAATGGAGGTGATTTTAGGCTATAAGAATCATATCCAGAAACCATATCCAGATTTATGTTTCTATATTCTATCAAAGTTATTTCACTCAGAATTGAACTCAGAGCTCTAAGTTATGTAGGAAATGCCTGCATGCTGGAGAACTTCCAAACAGGAGCGGCGTAACTCGGAGCGCTTTGCCGTCGGCTGTTAAACTCTGTGAGGCTTTTCTTAAGTTAATTATTTATAGATTACAGAGTTTTAGAACAAATACTGCTGCTGTAGCTACGCTGATGATTTATGTTTGCTGTCTATAAAGATCAGCATTTCACAGCTTTGAGGTTAAAGGTAAACAGCATATGGAGTTACAGCCCGTCTGAAAACGTTTATATGAAACCAATAACAGCATTTAACAGAAGGCAGATCAGTTTGGAGTGAAAGGGGAAATCCACCAATCCACCAGTCTGCACAGTCCACTCACTGAGATGTAGACAGAGTGACTCAGAGTGGTTTGGTGTGAAATGGTTCAGATGTCTTTACAGTGGTGGTGATAGGAACCAGGGGTCGCCATGACTACAACACAAATATAGACATTTTATTTACTATCCAGAACCACCAGTGAACCTACACGAGTCTTCTGAGTTTATATGGAATGTTGGTGATGGGAAACAGTGGAAAATCTGAAATAATAAGTTTAATGTAAAACCACAAATAACATTAATTTCTCTCTCTCTCTGTGTTGTGTCTCTCTCTTTCTTTCTCTCCCTCCCTTTCTCTTTCCGTGTTCTCTCTCTCTGTCTCTCTCTCTCTCTCTCTCTCTCTCTCTCTCTCTCTCTCTCTCTGTCTCACTCTCTCTCTGTAGATCCACTGGGACTTCGATATGTTCATCAGGAACAGAGTGGACACATCCCCGAGTCCAGTTGACTGGTCCACCATGTCTAAAACTCTGCTGGGCTACCTGGGCTTCATGCTGCTGATGTTCGGACTCGGAGAGGTGTTCCCCGCCTACCAGCCTGTGGTGAGACACCCAGTGTATATCTCACTGCGCCTCCTACAGGCCTGCAGGACTCAGCACAGCTTAGTTAACTGAGAATTGTAATATTATAATTAAATTTTAATCTGCTGTGTTTTTGTTTTCCAGGCACCGAAACAGTTCCCCTATAACGACCTGTATCTGGAGAGGGGAGGAGATCCAGAGAAAGAACCAGAATCTGTCAAACATTATGAAATATAATAGTATAACTCTGTCTGTGTATATTTCTGTTTCTGTAATAAAGTAAAATAATAATAATAACTCTGTGTCCCTCCGATTTTCTGATTGTATATTAAGCTGTTAACATCTACAGGGTTCTAGATCACCCCAACGGTGCCAGGCCAGCAATAAATATTAGAAATTTAAATGTATAAATTGTCTAATAAAATCAGATGTTTACTGATCTGCATGTAATCTACATTTCACATGCAATATACACAAGACACACTATTGTAAAGACTTAAGAGGATTCATTAATAAATGTGATATAAAATTACTGATTCAGGAGAACCTGGGAGACGTGGTTCTGTAGGTGTCAGAAAATGAAAATGTATTTTGAACATTCAACAATCTGATCTTTAATACGGGGATATTGTACTGTATGTTGTGTACGGGTCTGTAAAAGGGGATTTCGGTCCTGTTCACAGCTGTAATCTGCTGCCCTGTTCATCTCCATAATAATATTATATTTTATGTACAAGTAAATGAACAGACTGAAAAGGCAGCTTCTGATAAACACCAGAACCGGTTCAAATTGACTTGATTGCAAAACACTAGAGGGCGCCGAATTTGGGTGAATGGAGCTAAAATGAAAAATTAAACTTATTTTTAACCATTTCTGCAGGACGTTCTTCTAAAGTAGTAAAAAATATATTTAAATGAAAATGAACAAAAACTCAACAGTATCTTTCTGATTTTCTACACCAACGCTAGCATTACTGATACTGAGCACTGATTGGTTAGTATTACTGCTACTGAGTGCTGATTGGTTATTATTACTGCTACTGAGTGCTGATTGATTATTATTACTGCTGCTGAGTGCTGATTGGTTAGTATTACTGCTACTGAGTGCTGATTGGTTATTATTACTGCTGCTGAGTGCTGATTGGTTAGCATTACTGCTACTGAGCGCTGATTGGCTAGCATTACTGCTACTGAGCGCTGATTGGTTAGCATTACTGCTACTGAGTGCTGATTGGTTAGCATAACTGCTACTGAGCGCTGATTGGTCAGCATTACTGCTACTGAGTGCTGATTGGTCAGCATTACTGCTACTGAGTGCTGATTGGCTAGCATTACTGCTGAGTGCTGATTGGTTAGCATTACTGCTACTGAGTGCTGATTGGTTAGCATTACTGCTACTGAGCACTGATTGGCTAGCATTACTGCTACTGAGGGCTGATTGGTTAGCATTACTGCTACTGAGCGCTGATTGGTTAGCATTACTGCTACTGAGTGCTGATTGGTTAGCATAACTGCTACTGAGTGCTGATTGGTCAGCATTACTGCTCCTGAGCGCTGATTGGTTAGCATTACTGCTACTGAGCGCTAATTGGTTAGTATTACTGCTCCTGAGTGCTGACTGGTCAGCATAACTGCTCCTGAGTGCAGATTGGTGATCATTAGCTGGGTTTTTCTGTTAAAAAAGTTTTAGCATTAACAAAATGTGATTTGTACAAAAGCTCTTTAGGAACCCATTCATTATGGACTCGCTCAGGAGCGCCCCCTGGCATCAGACAAACCTAGAACACATCGCTGAGTTGCAGTTCTCCTACACATTCTCTCTCAGAGCGACGCAGAGAAACTAGTTCATGCATTTGTTACAAGCAGAGTTGATCACTGTAATGCTCTTCTTACTGGACTTCCTAAGAAAACTATACATCCCTTACAACTCGTACAAAATGCAGCAGCATCCTAACAAAAACAAAACAGAGAGATCATATCACTCCTTTAAAAGAGAGCTTTAAAAGAGCTGCATTGGCTAACTGTATCATTCAGGATAGATTTTAAGGATCTGTTAATAGTTTTTAAAGCTCAAAATAACCTTAAAGTACTGCTTACATCACAGAGTGTCTGTCTGTTTATGTTCCAGCACGTAATCTAAGATCTGCAGACAGTGGCCTTCTACAGATACCCTCAGTAAAATACAGAAAACGTGGAGAGACTTCTAAACTGTGGAGCTCAATTCCACCCTTTATTAGACAGTCAAGCTCAGTGCTCACTTTTAAGAAGCATCTAAAAAAGTATCTCTTTAACTCAGCGCTTCATTAAAACTCTACCTCTCATGGTTTTTATCTCCTATTTTGATCTTTCATTTTCTTCTGATTCTAAATAAATACTAATGATTTCTTGTATAACTGTTTAATCACCTGTCTGTAAAGCACTTTGAGCTGCTACCGGCATGGAAGTGCTATATAAATAAAAATTATTATTATTATTATTATTATTATTATTATTATTATTATTATTATTATTATCCGGTAACACATTTGTAATGTAATCATAAACGACATTTCCCGGCAGTCCGGGTAGAATACACTTCCCGAGAGTCCTAGCGGACTACATTTCCCAGCAGTCTTCGCGGTGATTACACTGAGAGCGGAGAGTGGAGATTGAGCGGACTGTCAGTACAGACTGTAAGTACAGGAAATAACACTGAAGGGCAGAATGGAGTGTGTGAGTCTGATCACAGTTCAGTGAGGAATCCGATCGCTGTTTAATCTGAATTAATCTGCTCTGCTCTTACTGAGACCCAGCGGCTAGTTCAGCGTTTTAGCGTTAGCGTTGCTGAGGGAAGGGGCTTTTTCTCCACATCTTTTCGGGAAAGCCCCGCCCCTCATGCGCTGCGATTGGCTGGCGCCGGGGTCCTGAATTCGCTGCACCGCGAGTCAATCATAGCTACCAGCCAATCGGAGTGCAAGACGGGGCGGGGCGTGTTGGAATACGGGCGGAAAAAAAGCTATAGCAGAGGCCTGAGCGGTTAGCTTAGCGTAGCTAAGCTTAACCTATGTAGCTCAGCGCTAACTGTAGCGCGAATGTAGGAAATATTAATGTGTTTAAAATTAACTGAAGCTGTTTAATATTTAGCGGGGAAGAAAGAAGATCTGAGCGGATAAAGCGGAGGTTTTAAAGTCATTCAAATCCGCTGTGTTCAGTTAGCAAAGCCGGCTAAGGCTAGTTAGCAGTGAGTTCCCTGCTGAAAAAGAACCATTAGAAACCATCAGGATTCAAACCTAGCTTACGATTTTCCTTTCTAATGGGAGTTAGCTGAATGGTTTCCAGTAGAGACCACTAGTTGCCTGTAGAACACCTTTAGATCCCATTAGGAAACCATCAAATGCATTGTGAATCAGCCACTAGTCACCTGTTAAACCGTTAGGACCCTCTACACTGTGATACCAACCCATCCCATTAAAAAAGACAAAACACATTACAAAACCATCATGAACCAACAGACACGCCTAATGGTGTATATGGGTTATTTCAGCAGGGTTGTCAGTATAGTTTACTGTCTCCTCTTCTCCAGGATTAATTGTTCTGACTAATGACTAATTACCAACATTAATCAGCTTTGATTTCACTCAGACAGTAAAACTGCAGCTTCAGCTGTTTATCAGAGCTGATGGACTAAAATCAGAAGCTGAGTCTTCTCCCTGCTCTCCAGCTTCTTAGTTGAATCTCCTGTTCCTCCTTAAACAGTGCAGCAGCTATAATAACACTGAGAGGCCAGATTGTAATTGCGGCACCGTTTAAGGTGGAACGGAAAAATTTGGGAAAAAAAGTTGGTAAAAAAGAAGCCACTTCGGCCTTGCTGTGTCCAAAATCAGGTCTGATGTGTGACGTTACTGTCCTGTCTCACCTGTACAGCTCAGAACAGGTGAAAATTACAGAAAAAAGACTTTATGCGGTGAAGTTGACGGTTTGCCGTTCCCAAATAAATGGTGATGCTAACGACGCACTGCATTCACTTTAGGCAGGAAGGTAACTGTTTATGGTTAATGAAATAACAGCTAAATTTACTGTTTTATCATCTTTTCTACTGTTTTGTGGAGAGAAGGAGTGAACGTAAATCGAGTATCTGCTCCATCTCCGTCGTTTAGACTGAGATTTCTCTTCCTGTGTGATTCACTCTTTAACATGACAGATGTCCTGAGGTAAACATCACCCCCCCCACCCCGGAGATCTGACCCCGTCTGATCAGAGCTTGACTCTGATGTCTTTATTTGTCCTCAGTCTGTGTCTGAACTCGTTTTCTGGAATCAGTGTTTAACCAGCAAAACACTTCTACAGCTGTGTCTCTCAGCCCTGGTGGTCCTGGAGACCCACCGCCCATTTTAACCCAGTAATGGGCTGCTAATGAGCTGATGAGGTGGGTCAGGTGTGCTTGGAGCAGGAGGGCAGTGAACAGCAGGACACGGGGTCTCGTTCTTCAACCTTTCACTCTATTTTATTTGCTATTTCGTCATCTTTTATCTTCAGCTACATCTAAATGTTCTCCTGAGCTTTGATCAACTCTGTGGGGGTTTTAAAGTTCGTTAGCGCGAGTATCTCAAGGATTGATGAACTGTTTAGAGGCTGGTACTGGTTGATTGATTGAGTGCTAGATCTAAGGTACTAGATCTGAGGTGCTAGACCTTTCTGAGGTGCTAGACCTTTCTGAGGTGCTAGATCTAAAGTATTAGATCTCAGGTGCTAGTTCTAAGGTGCTAGACCTTTCTGAGGTGCTAGATCTAAAGTATTAGATCTCAGGTGCTAGTTCTAAGGTGCTAGATCTCAGGTGCTAGATCTTTCTGAAGCGCTAGATCAGAGATTTTAGACCTTTCTGAGGTGTTAGACCTTTTTGAGGTGCTAGATCTGAGGTGCTAGACCTGTCTGAGGTGCTAGATCTAAAGTATCAGATCTCAGGTGCCAGTTCTAAGGTGCTAGATCTTTCTGAAGTGCTAGATCAGAGATTTTAGACCTTTCTGAGGTGTTAGACCTTTTTGAGGTGCTAGATGTTTCTGAGGTGCTAGGTCTCAAGTGCTAGATATTTCTGTTGTGCTAGATGTTTCTGAGGTGCTAGATCTCAGGAATGTTCTAAGCTGTATTATTATCTAGTGCGTTTATGTTTCTGTGTCTGAAGCAGTTTGAACTGTGTATAAAACTTTCTGTACAGATAAACTCTCCTGCAGGACCAGCAGGGCCGAGGAACACTGTTCTAGACAAAATGAAGAACAGCGCTCACCAGCCGTCCTCCTGGAGATCTGCTCTGCAGAGTTTAGTTCCAGCCTGGATCACACACACACACACACACACTAATGCACCTGGTCAGCCAATCAGAGCGTCTGCAGGGGTTATTGATCAGGAGCAGGTGTGTCAGACTGTGGTTTGATCTACCGGAGGGTCTCAGGAGTGTCACTGTGACGGCTGTTCTAGATAATGTGTGTTCATGTTTGTCAGTAAAGTGACTGTGTTTTTTAGTAAATCTGAGAGATGAAGTTTCGTTCTGTGAGTTTACTGGCGGCTGCAGAAATCCAGTTCCTGTCTGACGGATCCAGAGCCGGTGTTTCTCCGTATCTGATCACCTGAGTGTGAACAGGTTGAACCGGTTCCTGACTGTCTGATTACTGCAGTGTAAACACACTCGGAGTGTCTGCAGGTCAGACTTACAGTGATCTGTGACGAGTCGTTTAGGAAACTGCAGTGTCTGTGTACAGGGTTTGTGCGGGTGCTTGAAATCCTCGGAAATGCTTGAATTTTAATGTATTTTCCAGGTTTGAAAAGTGCCGGAATTTTGGATGAAGTGCTTGAAAATGCTTGAAATTGTAACTGTAGTTCTTTCACGACAAATAGCTGTCTGACTGAGTAGTTCAGTTATTAACGAAACAGCTCTTCATTATACCACCGCGGAGAGGATCACCCTAATGTTCTGCTGTGTATTAAGTTTTTAGAAAAGAAAGAAAGAAAGAAAGAAAAACGGCTCTTGGACGGGAGTCGGCTCTCATCATTCACTTAAAACAGGGGTTGGCAACATGCGGCTCTTTTACTGCCCTGTTGTGGCTCCACAGCAGAATTTGATTAGTAGGTAAAAATAAAATAATCCTCCTTTACAGTAAAATAAAGCTCTGCTGATCGTTCAACACAGTTTAACAGTAAATGGTCTTAAACTTTCGAGTTAATGCACAGCTGCTAATTTCCGCTTTAATCCTAAAGATCAGCACAGACTGCTGGTCACCATAGCAACACAGACAACAGTCTCACCTAGCTAGTAGCTAACGAAACGGCAAAGAGAGAGATTTAAGACGAACATCGCTAATTTGTAGACGAATGGACTTATTTGAGTTTATAATCACTCCAGCTGGTTTCCTGATACGTTTAATCTGCAACGAGAAACTGACAAACACTAAAAAGTTGCGAAGCTGAAATCAGATTCTCATTCGAATTGTTCTAACAAGAAGTTGGCGAATGAGAAACGACTTCAGCTTTGTAAAAAAATCGAACATTGAAAGACATTTTAAAGAATGTGTTCTACTTTTGTTGAAATGTTTCCTGCTGAACATGCAGCGCAGCTATGGCTGAGCAAAGCTTAACCTTTTAAACTCCTTGGGACCACCGGTGGTTCCAAAACGCACTTCGTCATATTCTTCATAACTTTCATATTTCATAAGCTACATTCAAAAGGTGGGGGTCGTATGAGAGCTGTAACTGTCTTCTTTCCAGTCAAATAGATGGGTGATGTAGTTTTGACCCCTTATAATAAAAGAAGCTGA